TTCCCGGTTTGTAAAAAAAAAAGCAGAAACGCAAAAAAAAAAAAGAAAAAAGAAAAAAGAAAAAAAGAAATGGTAAAAAAAGAAAAAAGGGGGAGAAAAAAAAGAAAAGAAAAAAAAAAAGCACAGTCTGACACTCGAACGACGACTACCGGGGCCAAGTCCCACTAGCAGCGTTGAGCTACCTCAACGCCTGAATGTGGACGCTGTTGCGGAGATGTGCAGAAATGGTGTCGAGTTTCCTGAACTGCACGTCTCCACAAACACGTCCAGATTCAGGCGATGAGGTAGCTCAACGCTGCTAGTGGCACTTAGCCCCCGGTAGGGTGCCACTTTGTCCTTTCTTTTGCCTATTGGAAACTAAAAAGGGGACTGAGGAGCAGTTTCCCCCTCATTATTATTATTTGATTATTATCTAGTACTCGGTACGGACAGTAAAGGTTTTTTTTCCCCGCCCTACTTTTAGGAAACGTGCAAGTATTTTTTATTGTTTTTTTGGTTATAATTTGGACCATTTCTCGATTTATGCGTGTGTCATCCTTGACAGCGCAGGGGCCATTTTGCTAATTAATCTTCTTTCTTTTTTAACGGATGTCCCCCGTGGGACTTTTTTTTTGCTGTTGGGACTGTGTAATTGGCGCTTTTTACAAACTTTATTTAGAAGATGGTCTCTGCCCCTGATACAGCTGAGAGGCATAGTCGTGGAATGAGCTTTGCCTGGCCGAAGAGCCTAGCTCAGCTCAGTGCTGCGGCGAATTTTTGTAAGGGGGCGTGGGAAAAAGATCGTGTTTTCTTGTCAAGTCCTTTTTTGTTGTTGTTGTTCTTCTTTTTTTTTTTCTTTTTTTTTTTTTTTTCTTTTTTTTTAAAAGGTGGACCGCGTAAAAGCTGGAGAGTGAGATTTGTTATCTCACCGTCCGCAGTGATACATTTAAAAAGGTCCCGATACCTAGGCTAGCAGAGTGGCCCGGGTCCACTTGCCCGGCCGGGCCAAAAAGAAATAAAAAAAATACAAAATAAAAAATTATTGTTTAATTAAAATTTTTTATTTAAATTTGGTAAAGAATTTCGATGTGACCCTGAGGCAAAAGTTGTTCAGTTTATTTTTTTAAATAACATGGTTTTTTTTTTCGGATTTTTTGGATATCTTTGTCTTTTTTTTTTTTGGCTGGGACCTTCCCTAGTCCTTGCACGGCCGGACCGCCCAGGAAAATAGGGTGACCCGGGCGGCCCGGCGGGTACCTGCCAAATATAGCACCCGGTCCTTATAACCGTATCTAGACTGAAAATTGACCCAACCACGGAAAGTTCTACCAGCAGTCCCATGACATGTCGAAGTGAAGACCAGAGTTCGGATCCAGAGGGCATTTTGAATACTGTTTATGAACCAGATAGATACCGAACGATCCAACATTTTGAGTGTATCGGGACCATTTCCAGGCCCAGGTGCATTTCGGATCTTGGGCAGTAGATCTAGGCTCAAGATGAGAATGCCATGACCAAAGTAAAAAGCAAGAAAGTAAAGAAGAAGAAGAAGAAGAAGAAGAAGAAGAAGAAGAAGAAGAAGAAGATTGTAGTGTCTGAAAAACACGAAAAAAAAAAAAAAAAAAGCACAGAGGTCTGGATTTCCCTGGAGCCCATCATGTATCCATTAATTCTATTAATAGATTTATCGATTTATTCATTTATCTATTCAAAGATCTAACGACTTTATCCAAACAGAGCGCCCGGTCTCTTTTTTTTTTTTTTTTTTTTTTTTTTTGAACGCCTGGTCATTTTATAGCTGCATCCGGTGCAACTTTCGGTCTATAAAAATAGCAATAGTTACTGGGCGTTCTTTTTTTTTTTTTTTTTTTTTCCGTTACTGGGCGTTCAATTCGGGTGAAGACCGTACAAATAAAACACTCGAGGGGTTAACGTCTGTTTTTTTTTTAAAGACATTTTCGGCTGATCTTCTTTGCATCTGACCCAGAATTGCAATCAATACAGACACAAATTATGACAAATTATGAGCCCCGCGTTCTATTAGTGGGAAGACAGTAATTAGACGCTGAACTGAGTTGGTCGTTGAAGCGGATCAGTGAGCGAATAGAACCTGGGATGTACCTGACTGTAATTGCGGGAGTATGAGGGAGAGAGAGAGGTGGTATTGCCGTAGGCGTGGCGCCTCCTCCTCCTCCTCCTCCTAATCCTAATCTACGGTCGGAAAGTACGGAAAGCACAGTGAGCTTACGGTCGGAGAATCAACGGCCATGAACCGCGGATCAGCATGAATCCGATCGTAGTCCTGCTCAGATTCACTCGAGAAAGTCCCCGAAGCTACGGGCTGCATCTGACGGTACGTGCGACCAGACTCATTCGAGAAAGTCCCCGTTTGAGTATTCCACTTAGGACTTTTTCGAGTGAATCTGGCTGTAATTCCAGTCCTGAATGAAGAATCTGGCCGTAGTTACAGTCTAGTGTGAATCTGGCGGTATTATGGACTAAGCGCAGGCAGTGGAACTTATACTCTTTTTTGTTCTCTCTCTCTCTCTCTCTCTCTCTGCGTGTCACACACACACACACACACGCACACAACGAGCTTGTCTGATGCTCCCCCTCGCTCCCCATCTCTCTCTCTCTCTCTCCCCCCCCCCCCCGGCTCTCTCTCTCTCTCTCTCTCTCTCTCTCTCTCTCTCTCTCTCTCTCTCTCTCTCTCTCTCTCTCTCTCTCTCTTCCCCCCGGCCAGTAAGGTTCTCGAGTTTTTTTTTTTTTTTAACAAAACAACCGGGAACCGGGGCCGGCGTCCCTTACATTTCGGTGCCAGGAATCGGGCCTGGTGAAACGGTTTTCACCTTTATTAGTAGCGAATGCAGATCCCAGGGCTCGATCCCTAGTTCCCACCTTACCTGTGTACAGTATCTGTGTCCACGCGAGAGTTGAACCCGTGACCTGTATATTTGTTACAGTTGGTAGACTGCCCTAGGGTCCGTAGGTAGCAGGGGTTCGATCTGTAGGCCTGTCAAGTAGAAGTCTTAGGGAGTTCTAGAAGTCGTAGCCGTAGAGCTTCCGAAAGGTCAAGGTAGTAGCTGCTACAGTCCATCCAGAAGGGTCAAGGTCGTAGCTGCTACAGTATCGAAAGGCCAAGTCCACGGCCTTCCGGAAGGTCCTAGCAGTGGCCTTTCGAAGTTGCCCGGGTTTAGACTGAGGCAAGTGGGCAAGTGGTGGAGTCTACCCGCGCTGAGTCAGCAGTCCCAGTCCCAGTCAGTCCTAGTCCAGTCCAAGTACCGTACGGGACTGTGTGCACCACGGGGATGGGAAAGGGCCAGACCAACGAGCTGCAGAAGTATAAATTGAGAGGCAGCGACCAGCCATTCATTCATTCGCTGCGTAAGCCATGCGGAAGCGCTGCCATAGCCCGAGGACGAAGTGGGCGAGAAGAAGCTTAGCCATAGCGATAGGGTAGTAGCGGCCATAGCCGCCATAGCTGTAGATGTGTGCGGTTGTGTGTGAGTGTACAGGGTGTGTTGTGTGTGGGATATCCAGGGTGATCCTGTGTGCGAACAGCAGTGTCCAGTGAGTGACGAACAGAGAGGTGTACAGGCGATGTGCCGCCATAGCCAGTGGAAGCGAACTTGTATCTGCACTGAGTTCTTGGTACTACATCTCTGAGTTCTGAGTGGGCGCTTTACGCCAGTTTGCTGCGCAACCTGTTTGCATACCATGTGAAGTGTGAATGATTGCGAGTCTGATTGCACTGGCATCCCTTACAAAAAAATTCCGCGGTCCTGATTTAGGGCGAGACATCACCGGTCTTCCTCCTCTTCTCTCCTCCTCCTCCTCTTCCCCTCTTTTTTATTCACTCCTCTTGTCGTCCTTCATCTCTCCATCTCATCACTATGTGCATCCACTGGCATTGGGGCGTAGACTTGTATTGCGGCCATCTTCTGCCTCAGCTCACTGATCTGGTGAGAACTTTGCTGATTCTCCTCCTCCTCCTCCTCCTCCTCCTCCTCCTCCTCCTCCTCCTCCTCCTCCTGCTGCTGCTTGCCATCATGCACCACTGTGTTGTGCCGCTAGTACTCCTCCTTCTCCTTCTCCTCCTCCTCCTCCTTGCAGCACCCCCTAGCAGCCACTTGGGTTGTTTAAAAAAAAAAAAAAAAAAAAAAAAAAAAAAAAAATAAAACAAGAAGGAGAAAAAAAAAAAAAAAAAAAAAAAAAAAAAAGGATTGGATGAGGCTCCTGAATCTGGACACGTTTTAAGCAGCGATGCAGAAAAGCAGTTCAATCTCTTTTTTTTGCACCTCTCCACAAACACGTCCACATTCGGGAGTTCAATCCAACCCACTTCGCTAGTGGGACCTCGCGCCAGGTATGGAGGCTCCTTTTCTTTTTTCTTTTTTTGGTTGAAAAATCATCCTCGTGACCGTCCGCCGTCCGGAGTTAACCCCAGCAGGGGCCAAGTCCCACTACTATTAGCAGCGTTGAGCTACCTCAACGCCTGAATCTGGACGCTTTTGCGGAGATTGGCAGAAATGGTGTTGAGTTTCCGGAACTGCACGTATCCACAAGCACGTCCAGATTCAGGCGTTGAGGTAGAGCTCACCGCTGCTACTAGTAGCGGGACTTGGCCCCCGGGCCTGGTAGGTCCCATTAGCGAACAGGATTGGATTTCGCTCCTCAGCCGAATCTGGACGTGTTTTAAGCAGAGATGCAGAAAAGCTGTTCAATCTGGATTTCCTGCACCGCTCAACAAACACGTCCAGATGCAGGCATTCTATCCGATCGTCTTCCCAAGTGGGACATCGCCCCCGGGGTGAGGTCCACTAGCAAAGAGGAGAGGATTGCATTGAGCGCCTAAATCTGGACGTGACTCTGGGGAGTTTTTTTTTTTTTTGTTTCTTTTTTTCTTTTTGTTTCTTCTCTCAAATTCACCTCACACTACCTACCTACCTAAGACTATATAGAGGGGACCTCTGCAAGCATAGGGCCGCGTTCGTTTGCGAGGCCCTATGCTTGAAGGGGGCGGGGGGAGTTTTTTTTATGATCATATGCCCTCAGGTAGGATCAGTACTATCTTCTTTTTTTTTTTTTTTTCAAAAAGAAATTGCACTTTTATTAACAGGGCCCAGTGCCCAAGGGTAGGATAAGTACTATCAATGGGACGCTGGACCCGGTTTCCAGCATGTGCCGCTCCCCACCAATAGATGGAGCAGCCCGACAGGTAAGCCCTCAATTCTGACGGTTCTCCTACCACCGTCAGGATAGAGGGATATCACAAGGGCAATTCTCAAAAAAAAAAAAAAAAAAAAAAATCAGTACTCCGACAGGCTTATTTTAGGTACGATACGACAGGGGGCTCTACCCGCCGTGACGAGCTGGGGCCAAGTCCCACTACTAGTAGCAGCGTTGAGCTACCTCAACGCCTGAATCTGGACGTGTTTTATGGAGACCTGCAGTTCAAGAAGCTCAACACCATTTCTGCACATCTCCGCAAACGCGTCCAGATTCAGGCCTTCAGGTACCTCAACCCTGCTACCTACAGTAGCACGACTTGGCCCCTGGACCCCCGGAGCATGGTCCCACTAGCAACCAGATAGGATAGAAAAGAGTTTGTGTGGCAGTTGAGTGACCCAAATCCTGCCGTGCAGTACTCGTGAGTGATCCCACGGTCAGTACTTTTTTTTTACATGTATTTTATTACCCGAAAAAGTAAGGAGATCTTGGTTCCCCTCCTCCTCTCCTTAACGCTGGGCATGCCCGTGCAAAGGAAGCTTCGGGCCAAAATCTTTTCAATCCGTTGGGGGTATGGCCAACCCCAAACGAGGGTGCGGTCTGCCTTAGGCCCACTGGATAGAAGATTTTCAGTATTTTGCTTGCTGTTGTGCAATTATCTCATTGGGTGGAGCCCTCCTTCAATCACAGAGTATATATATGGAGGGTGTCAGGATCAGTGCTGAGTCTGCTGACAGAAGTCAAGTTTATTCCAGAAAAAAAGGGGCAATTACTTCGTTCACTGTTGTTGGGACCACCACCATCAGATCATTATTTGTGATCTGATGGCTGGGAAGCACTCTACCGTGATTTCCGGTGGCAGGTCTCTGTTTCTTTTTTTTTTTTTTTTTTTTTTTTTTTTTTGCCTTTCTCCTGTTTTCTCAGCCCAGAGAATGGAAATAATTTGAAAGAAAAAAAACAGAAAAAAAAAGAAAGAATTTGAAAGATGATGGAAGATTTGAGAGAAGAATATAGCGTAGTTGAAAAAAAAAATAATAAAAAATAATAATAATAATTCGTAATGAACCTGTCAGCCCGCTGCCACTCAGTGTCACACTGGACAGGCCACAGTCCTATCCGACTGCTACTGCTAATGGGACCATGCTCCCGGGGGTTCTCGTTACTCCTTTTTTTTGCCTAAACTAGAATAAAAAAGAACCCTACCCTTTTTTTTTTTTTTTTTTGAAAAAAAATCGTGAGGGCCTGGAGATATCAGCTTAGGACTTACTGACCCCAGGTAAATCCCCCTGAGGTATTTCTTCCCCCCCCCCCTTTAAAAAACACAGCAATCTTTGTATAGCCGGGAAAGTGGCCCGGCCCCCCCCTAACATCAATACTTCAGCCACGCAGAGGGGGCTGGTCAAGGCACTTTTTTGCCCAAGTCCATCCCCCCTGGCCGCATTCCCAGAAAATGCACAACAAAGCACAACAGTGTCAATCTGGAAATTAAAAATTAAAAGTTATTTCTCCTCATCAGATTTTTCCATCCGAACTCGAACGCGCAGGGTCTGTGTTACAAGGACTCATGACATATGGGTGTACAATACAAACTGAGAGCATAGTCGCACTAGGGGCTTTTTTTTTTTTTTTTTTTTTTGAAATTTTGTTGGGATTAATTGAATTGGTTGGGCTTAAAAAATTAAATTTTATTAAAAAAAAAAAAAAAAAAAAAAAAAAAAAAAAAAAAAAAAAAAAAAAAAAAAAAGTTTAAAAAACAGAAAAGAAAGGACAGAATCAGACGACAAAGAACCGAGTTATTTAATCCACTTTCTGAATTTCAAAAGGGTTTTACCGTAATCAACTTGAATGGTGTCTCAGTCAGTAATAATCTTATATAAAAAAAAAAAAAAAGAAGTAATAAGCTTATATCAAGATCATACCCACATTTTTAAATATGAATGGGATTTTTGACCCGGGCCGAAGTCCCACTTAGTACCACAATTCTCAATTCTGACCGTAAGCACTAAGTAGATTACGGAGAAAGATCAACGGTCCATACATTTCTGGGCCTTCTGACGAACATCAAGTCTAGTATGTGTGTCCTGATCAGTTTTTTTTATTATTATTATTTTTTTTATTTTATTTGGACCATTTCTCGATTTATGCGTGTCATCCTTGCGCAGGGGCCATGCTAATCTGCATTCTCTGTATCGTTCCAATTTTAACAGCTTAATTATATCTGAAAAAAAAAACAAGTAAAAAAAAAATCAACGGTCCCAGAAATGAAGAATCAGCGTAAGTGGGACTTGGGGGAGGTTGGGAGGCATCGACGAATAGCGGAACACGTACTCAAGCATACAGCAGTCCCCCCGCACACACAGACACACACACACACACACACACACAGAGAGAGAGAGAGAGAGAGAGAGAGAGAGAGAGAGAGAGAGAGAGGTTCAGACGATCTTCAGTGTAGGTGTAGGTAAAAAAGATCTTCCGTAAGTGGGACTTAGACTTTGACGCTGCCGAGCAATGATGGGGAAAGGAGCCATCAAAGCGGGAGGCCACAAAAAAAAAAAAAAAGAAAAAAAAAAAGGAAAAAAAAGAAAAGGGAGCCCACTACTCGAGGCTTGTGGGGCGAGGTCGTTCAAGCAAAGAGGAGGATTGGAATAAGCGCCTGAATCTGGATGGATGGGTGTCGAGCGGAGATGCAGAAAAGGAGATCAACAGGGATTTTCTGCACCTGTCCACAAACACGACCAAATTCAGGCGTAAAGTACAGTCCTTCCTCTTTGCTAGTGGGTGCGAGCTCGCCCCTGGTATCACGTCGAGCAGTGAAGTATCTCAATCTAATGATAAAAAAAAAAAAAAAAAAGATTAGCATGGCCCGCGCAAGGATGACACGCACAAATCGAGAAACGGTCCCCAAAAAAAAAAAAAAAAAAAAAAAAAAAAAGGAAAAAAAAAAAAAAACAGCTCATGCGTTTTACTGTGGGGAGAGAGTATAGGTTTCTCGTTTTCTTTTCAGTAAACAAATAAATAAATATTGAATAACTTCAAATAAGTAATTTTATTTGAAACCGTGGTCGCAGGTGCCTACAATATATCAGGACCCTTTTTTTTTTTGTTTTTTTTGGCTTGGGAATGGGGGTAGTAGCCCGTAACGTTATTGTCGTGAGAATTCCCCTTCTTTTTTTTTTTTCTTTTTTTTTTTTT